AAGAGTATTAAAACATAATCGTATCGAGCTAAGAACAATTATTAAATATGCGCATATAGTTTAACAGAAAGACATAAAATTGCAATTTATGTATTTAGAATGTTTTTGACTAGAAAATCTTCGCTCTGATAATAAAAATAATCGAAATTGACTTATTCTACCAGTTATAAATGTATATGTATATACAAAACTTCATTGTTGATGGATTCAGTGACTTTCATAGGTAATTTGGATATCTTTGCAGTGATGTATATCCTGACTTTAGAGCTCAAAGGCAATTGACGAAAAAACCACAAGATTTACCGTGTAATCTTGGAAAGTCTACAGCAGAGCGGGCAAAATATTTGCAGACAGTGAAAGGATTTAAATGTGAAATCCCATAAATCCAATTTACAGAAAGCTGCATATCGGGCATTGCCTTTCAGTGGGAACGGTAACGGGTTAGGGATTTTATGCTGCCATATAATGAAATTTCAATTGAAGCTGACCATTTGTAGCCGAGTAGCTTGTACTACCTGATCTATCTTTCTTTAGCTGTTACTGCTGATACTCATCCAAGAGGGGTGACGGCTGATGCAGAGCCTTGCTTGCGGATTACCTCAGATTCTTAAATCCTTTGACTTTTCCTGCTAAGCGATCATAAAACGTGGGTTATGCATTTATGGCCCCAGCTCCCTCCCATCTCCAGTACCCTTCGCTTTTCCCGTTCGGAAACCTTTCGAACTTGGTTGGGTGCGGTTTAATCCGAGACCACCAAAGAGATCATGACGCACTTATTTAATCTGCTCAGTAGGGTGCAAATTGTTTCTTGAGCGAATTGTTGAGCATCACGCTGACTGCTTACTAGGTAAGCAGATAATCGTTGCTACTTTTACTGGGTGGGATTAGCATGTCATTTTGAAGAACATCATCCGAGTACACCAACAAGAAGCTTTGTTGGTTTGCTTGGCTGTTATTGGTAATCGTGGAAGTCAAAGGCAAAAGCCAAAGAAAAAACTTGCGCTACCTGTTTACAGGCTACCTGGTCTAAAAATCTTTTCGATAAACAAGCCCATGCTCAGTGTTGCGCCCCTAGACTTAAGGGTGATGTTAGGTGGGCTTGTTCTGCTAATCAGTTGATAGCATTGGGGTTCGGGAAGGGAGTGATTGTCAAATCCGTAAAAAATTACGAGTCTTGGTATACTCCTGCTATTACAATAGTATGTTCTTTACACTATTAGAAAGGAAGTGTTTATATGAAAACATCGTTGGGAAGCCAAATATGGAAACATTTTGAAAATCTGATATTTGTTTAAAATTTAATACTTTATCCGATTATGCGCAGAGTGAGTAAATTTTACTTTCATTTTATATATTAAAAAAGTTCTCGGTTTTGAAAGGTTTCTCAAGCCAATAATATAACACAGACAAATGCTGTCAGTCCAGGTTGGCGCAGGTTACAGGGTATAGCTTAGTCGGGTACTCGCTGCCTGCTAGAGCCCGCTTAATAATTGTATTTAGGTATGAAATAATTGTTAATTGATCTGTTGGCTTGCTCTTCTTATATTTTGGGCATACCATGAACCCTCTTCTACCAACACAAAAAAAGTAACTTCATTGAACTTGACCCCACAAATTGCTAACGTCTACACTCGAAAGTCATACCAAAAACTGATGTTCGATGCTGATGATGTTAATAGAATTTTATAATTTGTGGCAATAGCGATAAAATGAAGATATTTGATATATATATATACTATTCACGAGGCTGCAAGTCAAATTTGGTGACTCTACCTCTTATAACTTACGAGATTTGCTCAAAAAACAGGATTTCAATATTGATTTTGATCGAGGGAAACGGAGCAAGCCATCGACTCGGCTTTTGATGCTGATCAAGAATATATATGTATATATATATATATATATATATACTTGATGGGATCGGAGTTGCTTCCTGTTACATACAGTTGCATAAGCACATTATACCCTTTTTACCCATTTTCAATGGCTTGAGGTTATAAAAAGATGGATTATATAGTAATTATAAAGTTTCAGTTTGCCGACATTTACGCATTCTTGTATTTTATTATCAAATTGTTCTGATTTTTACTTGAAATAACTTATATTTTATTTTAAAAACTATATTTTATATAATTTGATGTTAATATTTATTATAGCTTATACTAATTAAAAGTGCCTAAATATGGTTTTGTGCAAATATATGTAAGAGGCAGAAGGAAGTATCTCCGACCACATCAAGTATATATAAATATATAAATATATATTCCTGATCAAGATGACAAGCTTAATAGATCTAGCCAGTCCATCCGTCCATCTGCCCGTCTGTATGATTGTGTTGATCTCGAAAACTATAAGAGTTTATATTTTCTTATCGATATCCAGTTCCAAAATATCCATCTTATATAAGTAGTACACGCATTTAAGAAAAATTAACTTTGTGGATACCTGCCCCGTTCCCCATAAAGTTTTAAAAAAAAGATATAAGGCCAGAGCTTTATGATTTGATATATACACACATTTGAATGTCATACTTGTGCACCTTAAATTACCTGAAGATAGCATTAAAGCGTCGAAGTTATTCAACATGAATTGCCAATATTGTGGCGCAGGCCGAATGCTGGTGGGATTACAATCGTGTCCTACCGAAAAGTACGTGTAAGAACACATTTAAATATTCACTTTCACTTTGCTAAAACCCAAGTAGGCTACCTTTGAGAGAAATGAACGAAAGTCCAGTTATCTTCGACATGATCAAGATTAAGTATCTTTGTTGACACATGGGCTGTGGCTTTTTAGATATTTAAAGAGTGATCGTATTTTCTGAGCTTGGGAAAGATATCTTGGATATATACTATAATCTCCAAGTTAACTTAAGATATCTCGTAAAAAACAATAATTTTTGTACAAAAAGCTAAATGCAGGCCGCTTTTCACATATGTACTGTGTGCAACAGAAAGATGGACCTATGAAGAAGAATCTATATATATATATATATATATATTTTTATGGTCTGAGATGTATGCATTTCATGACAAAATTATATTATCTTTGAAGGGTTTAGCACTACGACCGATTTGCACAAGAAGCTTAAAAGAATGATTCGGGATTAATATACAAATGCACATACATACATACATACTCTGTGTATATGTATGCGTATGTGCTTGTGCTTTAAGGGCAGTACGAGCACGAGCGCTAAAGCAGCGGTGTTCTCCTCTGTGGTTGTTTGGTTAACGCCCCTTTAAATACAGTTATTTCATTGGGCCGCGACCACAAATTTATTAGTTTTTATTGATATTGTTATTGTATTGATATTTGAATTATGCCCGCCGCATTTCGACTTTTTCCTTGGGCTTTTATGCAGACACTTTTCCCACTTATGTAGATACTTTCTTGACCTCTTCAATTTTTGCAGATGCAAATGTGTAACGAGAGTATACATAATGGCTTTGTGAAAAGGTTATGATGTTTCTTGTGTAGTTTAATATACTATATTAAGTATGTGACAGAACAAGAATATTTTCAGTTTTTGGTTCCATTTATAGGCATAGACACACCTTTGGACACCTGAAGTGAGAAGTGAACTTTTCATAAGATTCGAATTAGCATGCTGTTGTATGTATAGAAGGAAGCTAAAGTGTTTGCAAGGACAGCTTGGCGCTGGGTTCAGGGCAACTCCTAGTTGGGCACTCTTGTTTTTATTTATAAATTGACACACAAAAGAGGAACATGTATCGGGTAAAACTAGATTAATATTGTTGCTTTAGCTATTTTGGCAAGTTCATAAGATCTTGCTCGATATAAGCATACGTGGATTGTGCATAATAGTCAAGCAACTATATTTACATACATATATGTAGGAATATATAAACATAAGTATATGCAAATTTAATTAAGTTGCAAAGAATTAACATATCATACTTATGTATATAGTATGTACATTTCAGTGGTCTGCTTACCTACAAACTGATATGTATCATCATAGCCAAGAACCAGGGCGAAGTAGTATGAGCGGTTCAAGCAATAATACCTAGGAGTAAGGCTTCGCCCAATTGCTTTGACACACAAACCCACACATAGAAATTATAACAAAACGCCTATAAGGCCAGCATAGCTAACAACATTGCAATGTATATACACGAAGAGCGTGCGCGCGTATGGGAGCGAGCGAGACAAAGAGCGAACGTTGCCGCATTGAAGTCAGCGGAGAAGCAGGGCATCAACCACCAGCAAGGCGAAGGCGCATGTTGCTGGGTTAGAAGAGCACAGCACGAGTCGCTGCTGGCGTCGCTGTCGCAGTCTGCTGCCGTCATCACTGATTCGTTTTGTACGATGTTAGACTCTCTCGCTGCGTTTTGAATTCAGTCGACAACGATAATTACCGGTGGTTGTATCTCGAGCGCAGCGACTGAGGCCAGGAAGACCGAACTGACCAGCAACCAACGAAACCCGCGCTCGCTTTTCTGCCTATCAACTATCAACAAAAAGACGAACGCAAACGGCAACAACGAACTACAATTTCACCAATTGTGAAAAGCTTAGTGTGTACGAAATATAACGAAACAATATTCGAATTTCTTTTGTGCCGGGTTACTTGCCTGTCATTGTGAAAACTATTATTGACTATAGCGCCAACTTCGACGTCATCGCACTGTGCAATTATTCAAGTGAAAACAACACTAGCAGCAGCGTCAAATACACCAACAAGAATACAAATAAAACAGCAGCTATAATTATTTGAACGCATACGTGTATAAAATATATATAAAACAAGACAAGTCAAGAGCGTGCCATAATTATAATATATCGAAGCATCAGCATAAGGAGCAATAACAATAAAAATAACAACAACAACAACACAAAAAAAAAGTTATCAAAAGCCAAAATAAAATCAATAAACGGCAATGTGCGAAAATTGCTAACGAAAAAAACTTCAGCAGCATCAGAAGTCAGCAAAATCAGCAACACCAATTACGATAGCAGCCATTAAAATTGCCAACATGATTGACGCCACCTGCAATTATTTGAATCCCTATACACTGTCTCAATCAACAGCCGTACAGCAGCAACAGCAGCAGCAGCATCAGCAGCATCTACAACAACAACAACAACAACAACAGGAGCAACAGCAACCAGGTCATGATTTCATTAGCACCACATTGCTCTCCGCCTCCGCCTCCGCGTCCACATCCACGTCCAACCGTGACTCTAATGGCTCCTCCCCGTTGGCCTTCTACGGCAAACAAGCAAATGCATCACCAACAGTTTCCGCATCCACCTCACATCAAGTGGTGCCGCCAATGAAATTGGAAATGCAATATCCGCCGCAGGCATCATCTACTGGTAGTGCATCGGCCAACTCCAGTATATCACAGTCAGCAGCTTCCTCGGCATCGGTGTCACCTAGCATATTCCCATCTCCGGCGCAGTCCTTTGCTTCGATATCCACTAGTCCGCCGGCCGCAGGTGGCTCCTCGTCGGCCACAGCTGCAGCAGTGGCAGCTGTAGCTGCGGCTGATTTGGGTGCCGCAGCGGTGGCAAGCGCCACCTACAGCTGGAATACGGCTGCATACACAGCGCTGCCAACAAGGTAGGTTCTCCCATTCCCTGCTCTTTACGATTTATACCTATTTTTACACTCGCCCCATTGCCGATTCTGAAATCCCGATTATATTTGCAAAGATTAACGCGATCTAATTTGTTACCTGCGTTGTGTCTATTTTGATTGCAGAACTCAATTTCCGTATGCGCAATACGCAACTTATGGAAATGTGGCAACGGTTGGAGTTGCAGCGTCGGCATCGGCCGCCTGGTTCTCACACCAAGAGCGACTGTACCAGCCGTGGTCATCACAAAGCTATCCAAGCTTTAATTTTGACGATATCGCCTTTCAGACTCAGCTTCAGCGCCGGTCCGTACGTTGCACCTGTCCCAACTGCACCAACGAAATGAGCGGACTGCCACCCATCGTCGGACCCGACGAGCGCGGACGCAAGCAACACATATGTCACATTCCAGGCTGCGAGCGCCTTTATGGCAAGGCTTCACACCTTAAGACCCATCTGCGTTGGCACACTGGCGAGCGACCGTTCCTATGCCTTACGTGCGGTAAGCGTTTTTCGCGTTCCGATGAGTTGCAACGTCATGGACGCACCCACACCAACTATCGGCCATATGCATGTCCCATCTGCTCCAAGAAGTTCTCGCGCAGTGATCATCTTAGTAAGCACAAGAAAACCCACTTCAAGGACAAGAAAACGAAAAAAGCCCTAACCGCCGAGGCCAAGGAGCAGTCGGCGGCCATCAAGCAGGAGAAGTCCGAAAAGGCATTTAACAATAAAAAAGGGATTAAGAGCAAAACTGCGACAGTAACGATGCTCGGTAACAATATGCAATTCAAACAGGAGCAGCCAGAGGCAACAAACACCTTGGGCTATGCACCTTATGCGAATCTCAATCAGCAAACAGCGAAGACAGCGGCAACGGCCGTGGTGGTAACGACTCTGCCGCCACCACCGCCTCTATTCCAGCCACAGCAGCAGAGTGAACCCTCGGCAGTATCCAACAGTAGCAGTAGCACCGGCAGTTATGAACCCTGGTGCACCAGCACCAGCACCAGCACCAGCAGCAGCAGCAGCAGCAACAATAGCAATAGCCACAGCAATATTCGTGCCATGGAACAAAACCAAACTACCTCAGCGAATGCCAGACCCACATCGGAAGGCTCAGCAATGATTTCTAGTAGCATCAGCAGCAGCCAGGCCCAACACTATACAGCGCTCTCCATGCAGAATGAGTCGCAGCTGGCCTCGGAATATGGACTAACCATGTCCGGGCTGGCAAGCGGCGCCTGTGATAATAGTAGCAGCAGCTGTAATAATTTAAGTAGTGGATACTCTGGCCTTGTTGGTCCTATGAAGACTGATTATACCGGAAACTATCCGGCTGAATTTTCTAGTGGCTCTGGCTATGGTTATGCACATCATCACGTCGCTCACGCCCATGCCCACGCTCACAACCATCACCATCATTATCACAATGCGTGGACCGCCGCTTATCATCCACATGCAGCGGCCTAGACTTAGCATTAGTGTGGATTAGTACCTAAATAAATCCTTGTTGCTGTTGGATAATTATGAAAAATTAAAATCGACAGGTTATAATTAGCTCTTCATTTTAATTTTTTTTTACAGTGTGAAGTATTAAAAAACAGCCATAATACTGCATATATATGCAGACTTAATACATATTGTATATCAATACCCTAAGAAAACATTCTAATCAATCCCGAAATGTAAGTTGATGTCCTCTTTATATTTTTTTGACTTGTTAGTGATCTAATTGTTGTTGTTAAGAACATAATATACATATATAACTATCAAAAAAAAAAAAAATTCAATAATACATGTAAGATGATTATTTCGACATTTTTTTTCATAGGTTAAGCAATTTTTTTTGCATGTATGTACATATTCATATATAAACGTATATTGTAAATTATTTTTTTTTAACTTTCCTTAAGGCAAAGTAACGTAATAAAAAAAATTTTGTTTTAATCTGGAATTTATTCTTGTGCTAGAAACCCAAAATCGAGTATACCAAATCCCAATGCTACACCACAAACAAGTAAGAGGTTCTAGTCAGGAGTACCCGACTAGGGGATACCCTGAACCCTCTTCTTCCAACATGAAATGCATATATATATATTTGATTTTAGAAGCTATATGTTAAGTTTGGTGACTCTAGCTCTTATTATTTACCAAAATTGCCCAAAAAAGAGGATATCGATATCGAATTTTATCGATTGCTTGGCAATGGAGTAAGTTATCGATTATCGGAAACAAACTCGATCTGCGCGGGAACTAGGACCATCTACATCTAATTCAATCTAAATTTCAAGTCTCTAGCTCTTATAGGTTCTGAGATCCTTGCGTTTATACATACGGACGGACGGACGGACGGACAGACAGACGGACATGGCTAGATCGACTCGGCTATTGGTGCTGATCAAGAATATATATACTTTATGGGGTCGGAGATGCTTCCTTCTGCCTGTTACATACATTTGGATTTTGCACAAATACAATATACCCTTATACCCATTTTTAATGGGTTCAGGGTATAAAAATGTTTGGGGGAGGTATCAAAACGTTAAATAAATCAAAGCTTTTGATTTTTAGCTCTTAAGGTTTTCGAGATAGACGCGTTCATACAAACGGAAGAACGCACAGCCGGACGGAAGATCAAATCGGCTGTTGTTGCTTTTTACCCATTTGCAGTAGGTTAAGACTATAAACATTTTAGAATTTTTAAAAATAAACACTCATAAATACAAATATTCACGAACGCACTCACATGCGCCTTTCGCTGCGTGAATATTTTATTTTATTTATTTAGTCTTCAAATCGTAAAAATTGCCTCCAATATGAATTACAAAGTGGTTACCCAGGTACATGGATGCATTTATACACAAACTCAATAACATACGAGAGCAAATTTGGTCTAACTAGCTCTTAATTTTGTAAGTCTCTAGTTAATGTAGTTTCCGAGTGGGAACAAAGTTGTTTTTATTAAAAACCCTTTTAACGTATTCGAAAAGAAAATAGATTGGTGGAAAGCCAAATTTGTTCTATATTTCTATGCCATGTACTTTTTGTCTATTATCTATTTATTTTTATAATTAATTTGCAAAATAGTATTGCAGGACTTGGCCTGCTTTAGGTTCACAGTGTATTAAGAGCTGACAATGGTCGAGTAGAGTCTTCCTGACTGAGGAATCGTCGAATTGTTAAAAAAACGGGGGGTGGGAGTAGGCGCTACTGAATATTCCAAGAGGATTATCTAATAAGGTTATATGCTTTGTGTGGCACCATTTGTACACGTTGTCTAACGCGAATATAAGGAAGCGTATATTATTTAGGTTTCTAGCCAAATGAACGTATCATCAAAATCTGTATATTTTTATATGAATTTGTATATAAGGTTTAAAAATAAATTGCTGCTGTAACCAATCTCTTACAGGCAATATATCAGGTTTACATATTTTTTTGCGCTGAACATCAAGTTCCACTTGCATCAAACTGAAAAATGTTCTGAGAATTTGCCGATAACTGACACCACCTATGATCCAATGACACCCTAAGAGGCTGTCAAGGTGTTCTTGAAAACATTGTCACACGTACTTAGCAAACAGAAGCAGACATATAGAGACATACATATATATATACTTGGCATAGGGACTGGCCTTGTAAACCAAAGAACCACATTGGCTAGCGTGACACGTTTGTTCAAGTGGAGGGACTTAGAAAACCCTCTAATTTTAATCAAATTTATAAATAGTATAAATGTTATGCAACCACTTGACAGTTGGCTGGCCGCAGTTTGTGTTTCATCTTACACAAAGCCAAAACCGCCCTTTTCCACAGAATTCGGTTTGATGTTACAGGGTTGTGATCCTGACAGCACCACTTCAACCTGCAGACCCAGGACGACATATTTATTAGTTGGGATTATCGCTGCTTAGGGGACTCTTACCCCTATAGGAATAAGGAGAAAGCGCAGAATGTGCCTAAATTTAAATATAATTCATATTGTTTTTGATAATGAAAAATATGTGAATTAACTATTTTTCATTTAAATATATATAATATGTAAGTCTCAGACTTAAAATTGCTCAACCCCAAAATCCATCATATATAATATTCAATTTAAATATAAGAATCAATCAAATTAAAATGGTTGTTTCTTAACTTTAATCAAATTATATTATATACTTCATTTAAATATGAAAATTATATTTATTTAATATTTTTTTTTATTCAAGAAATGAAGAAGAAGCTTTTTATTTTAAAAATACTTAAACATTACATTTAATCATTATTAAATTTAAATAAAAAAACGTTTGCCTTCACTGTTTAACTTCTTCTGTAATTGAATAGAGAATTAACTATTTTAGTTTAAGAGAAGATGCGAGCTACATTTAAAAAATATTAATTTTATTAAATATGTTTTATTTTTATATGTGCATAGTTAATATACGGTTTAGTTCTAAGTTCTAATGATATTGAATTTGCCATTTTAGTATGTTTTTATTCAAAGCAAAGTGGTTTATCTAAAAATGTATTATGAAAATGTATAAAAAAACGCATTTTGAAATTAAATATGCCCATTGAATACGGGTAATTATGGCTTTGTACAATATGTGTAATAGACAGGAGGAAGCATATATTTACTACTAGCGGGTGTACCCCGGCCTTGCTCGTGACGCATAGTATAAAATAAATTCTCTCAAATATGAAACCGATCGGGCGGTAAACAAAAAACTTTCATGCAACCGTTTTCTGCCAATTTCCCACTGTTGCGGATAAAATTTCCTTATATAGAGCTTTGAAAATAAGTTCGAAGCAAATAGGAAAAAAACTTAAAACTTCACCAAAAAAATCGTTGAATCGCACTCTTTACCGAGTGAGCTTTGATTTTGATAAAAACGTGAAACACGTCCCATATAGATTCTTGGAAATAAATTTGAGCGCGAAACGTCACCCACCAAATATTTGACCCCCATTTCACCCAAGGAGGAATACAATGAATCTAAGCAAAGATCTTTGTAAATGAGTTTGAGGCCGATCGAATGGTAAACAAAAAAGTTTCATACAAAGGTTTTTCGCAATTTTTCCATACAGGCGGCAGGAATTCCCCGAAACCCCGTAATAAGGTAACTACCGTGAAAATTTCAGCTTCCAAGCTCTTACGATATAAGCTGTGCGTTGATCACTAACGTTGATCAGTCAATAGGTCAGCCAGTCAGTCATTACAAACAGTTTTATATATAGAGATAGTTTCAAAAACAGGTTTTTCTCGAAGATTTTACCACATTTGGCAAGAAGATTTGGATGCGTTCTCTACCAAGCTATATCCTTGCGCCCTGATACTCAAACACATTTAAGACACTGAAAGATCGCACTGATATGTATTTATGAAGTTGTGTGTTTTGTGTATGCATGTAAAGAAGAAAGTTTGAAAATTTATTATTGCACACCGGTGCTGGGTAAATGGTATCTGCTGGTCGGACCATCGCGACAAGAGCACTTTTTTTTTGTTTTTGGTTGCAGGCTTTTGACTTGGCGTGTATGATAAGGTCATCGGTAAATATTTATTTTTTGTACGCTTTGTTTCTGCTGTTGATTTTCTTGTACCTCTTTTGTTGTTGTAAAGTTTTATGGTTATTTATTTATAAAAAACTTGTTGCAGTATATGGCTCAGTTCGCTAAAAGTTCACTTTTTGATTCTCTCAAGACAATCTCTAAGGATAGTCTACATTTATTTTACTTAACACAAGTCGAAATATATGATTTTGTTAGTAATCAACGGAGGCAGAAGGTAAGATATATGTGCATGGCCTGATTCAACATCAGATTCTATTTATTGAAAGCTATATGAGCTAGAGATTTCTGGAATGTATATTCTTCTGGAAGCAGAGATGCAGCTTAGTTCATATTATTATTAACTTATCCCGTTTCCCTGAAATCGAATAATATCAAACTTCAGCTCTGTTTGCTTCACATATATTTAAAAGGCACAACATATAGTGTGTGTCTTATATAGTGTAGGAACGAGAGGATATTGGATTATATAAAGGATTTAAAATAAAATAATGGATCCCAACAGGTGTAGCCATTTTCTTAAGTATATACGCCCATCCCTATTCTGACTTAAAAAGTATAATGATGGTTTAATAAATAGCGTTTTTATGTTCGTATTTACTTATGAAATAAAGTTCAAATGTATGTGGGTTACGTCAGCTTGAGGTTGCATACTCTTTCGTCTTTTGTAATTGTCTGCAAGGATATCTCACTAAATATGTGCAGTTTCATTGCTCTGTTAAATAAATACGTACTTATATATTAAGTATGTATAGGAAAAACAGTTAAGCTTTGACCCTAATCAATTCACCTTTCACAGCGATTTTCTTCTCTGAAGTACGTGACTCAATCAATGCCTCGCACATTTAAGCGTAACAGTCACACTTAAATTCAAAGAAGTGTGTATCAGGGGTATTCGCCTATTTAAGTAGTCAATTGACCGACAATAACATCTCTATCAGCTCGACATAAAATGTTTC